TGGACCCCCAAAGTAAAACAAAAATACACAAAAAGTACATTTATATAATAAACATACATAAAATACAAATATATATGCATGTATATAAGTTTTCTATGGAATAGCAGATTAAACTATGAATGTTTACTGTCAATGTTACAATGATTACTATTAAATGCCTGTCCACAGACAACTATATGAGTTACATAAATGCATTGCAAATAAAGTTGTAGAAAAAAAAAAAAACTCCATCCAGATCATAGAGTAATCTGAATAGGCCGCCCTATCCCCTCTTCTCTCTATGGTCAGAGCCCGCCTCAGCTCCCTCCTCAGACGTCCTCAATTCTTCATCAGCATTTCTTCTCGGCAGATTCGTTAAAAGTGGACAACTACATTTGCACAGAAATAAATATCAAATCCCCAATGTTGCTAAATCTGGTGGCACAACCTTCCACTCGGAAATACCAGATAACAAATCTACGGCAATTTATATAATTTTCTGTGATACTGCTTGGAAAGTGCGGAGGCGGAAGTCGCGATAAGTAAAACTATCTGGATGTCTGCAGATTCGTCAGGAAGGTAAATGAGAAAGGAAAAAATAGAGAATTATCCGGAGCGGCGAGGTAGTCCTATACGAGAGGGGGAAACGTGAGGAGGAGCAGCGCGAACCGTATACCGGGAGGGGAGGGGCTTCGCCGAGGGGGAGGGGCACGGTCGCGACGAAAGAGCGACGGAGGAACCGCAGGCGGCTTTACCGGGAGGCTGAGAGGGGGAAGAGACACCGAGAGACAGCCGGGAGAGCGGAGAGACCGCCGGGTGAGTGGAGAGACCGCCGGGTGAGTGAGGGAGAGAGCCGGGGGCCCCGGCTGGAGAAGAGAGAGTCACCCCGAGGCCTGAGAGACTGCTAGGCCGGAGACAGCCCGGGGACTATAGTATTATGTACTGAGAGGCATCCAGGAGAGTGCTGAGCTATAGACAGCCAGTAGAACATAGAATTATATACAGAGAGACATCCAGGAGAGTGCTGAGCTATAGACAGGCAGGAGAACATAGGATTATATACTGAGAGACATCCAGGAGAGTGCTGAGCTATAGACAGGCAGGAGAACATATAATTATATACAGAGAGACATCCAGGAGAGTGCTGAGCTATAGACAGGAGAACATAGAATTATATACAGAGAGACATCCAGGAGAGTGCTGAGCTATAGACAGGCAGAAGAACATAGGATTATATACTGAGAGACATCCAGGAGAGTGCAGAGCCAGAGACAGTCAGGAGAACATAGAATTATATACTGAGAGACATCCAGGAGAGTGCTGCGCTATAGACAGCCAGGAAAACATAGAATTATATACTGAGAGACAGCTAGGAGAACATAGGATTACATACTAAGAGACAGCCAGGAGAACATAGGATTATATACTGAGAGACATCCAGGAGAGTGCCGAGCTATAGACAGCCAGGAGGACATATAATTATATACGGAGAGACAGCCAGGAGAACATAGGATTATATACTATAGACAGCCAGGAAAACATAGAATTATATACTGAGAGACAGCCAGGAGAACATAGGATTATATACTAGGAGACAGCCAGGAGAGTGCTGAGCCAGAGACAGCCAGGAGAACATAGAATTATATACAGAGAGACATCCAGGAGAGTGCTGAGAGATAGACAGAAGAACATAGAAGTATATACAGAGAGACATCCAGGAGAGTGCTGAGCTATAGACAGGAGAACATAGGATTATATACTAAGAGACAGCCAGGAGAACATAGGATTATATACTAAGAGACAGCCAGGAGAACATAGGATTATATACTAAGAGACAGCCAGGAGAACATAGGGTTACATACCAAGAGACAGCCAGGAGAACATAGGATTATATACTGAGAGACTTCCAGGAGAGTGCTGAGCTATAGACAGGAGAACATAGGATTATATACTAAGAGACAGCCAGGAGGCCACTCGCCTATAGATTGAAGAATCTGATTTTAAACACAGAGACAGCCAGGAGATCATGAGATTAAACATTAAGAGACTGCAGCACTATGGGCTCTACAGAGATGACACTACACATTGGTAGACATACAGGAGAGTGCTGCGCTCTAGACAGCTGGATGATCTTGGAATTTCATTGTAGGTGACATTTAGGAGTCTGCAGAACAATAGACAGTGTGGAAATGATGGAATTATATTCCAAGAGACATCCATCAATCCGGAGACCTCTAGACAATCGGGAGAAGATACTGTTAGATACTAAGAGTGGTGCAGCACACAGACCACTGACCTGTAGACAGCTAGCCAGTGATGAGATTACACACTGAAATATAGACAGCCAAGAGAATGTGAAATTGGGAGAGTGCCGGAGACTGCTGAGGTATAGCCAAGAGAGTATGATATTACCCACTAAGAGACTGCTGGTTTCACGACAGTAAAAGGGATGTGGGATCACAGGCAAAGACATCAAGAAGACCGCTGAGCTTTAGACAGTCAGAAGATCATAGAATTATCTGCTAAGAGACATCCAACGGACTGTGGACCTCAAGACAGTAGGACATAAGAAGGAGGAGACATCCAGGAGACTGCTATGCTTTAGACAGCCAAAAGACCATGATTATTCATCAAGAGACATCCAGGAGACTGTAGACCTCAAGACAGTAGGACATGAGAAGGAGACATCCAGGAGACTGCTATGCCTTCGACAGCCAGAAGATCTTTAGATTATCCATTAGGAGACTAGACCTCTAGAATGACATGAGATTCCAGAAGGAGACATCCTCAAGACTGCTGAGCTTTAGACAGCCATGAGAACTCTAGATTGTATATACTGAGAGACATCCAAGAAACTCATCACTTGTAGAGGGCTAGGTAAGCGTGCCGTTACAATGATATTTCCAGGAGACCGCTGAACTCTAGACAGCCAATAGCACGAGAGATGACATACTTTGAGACAGCCAATAGCACGAGAGATGACATACTTTGAGACAGCCAATAGCACGAGAGATGACATACTTTGAGACAGCCAATAGCACGAGAGATGACATACTTTGAGACAGCCAATAGCGCGTGAGATTACATACTTTGAGACAGCCGGGTGATTACTAAGCTGTAGACAGCCAGATGCACATGAAGTTTGGCTCTGAGACATCAGGGGACTCCTCCGTCATGTCTCTATAGGTCAGAGTTGATGTGAAGACTCTATAGAGAGACAGTCGCTGTGGTGAGTTGCAGAAGCTGGATGGTATGACACACGCTGGGTATCTCCTCTGCCATGCCTCCATCACTAAACCTTTTAGAGTGCAGACGTCTCCATGGCGCCGGCAATGACGGTCTTCTTCTATTTTGCAGGTCCCATGTCCCCAGATGGAGCCTGAGGGCGACAGTCACAGAGGAACCGGCTTCCAGTGGAGGAGCTACAAACTTCTTCTGGATCCTGCTCTTCCAGGGACACGGACCAGTCAGAAGATTTACCGCTACGATGGCATACACTTCAACGTCACCGTAAGCTGGGCGGGGCTTATTGTGGCCGTAAAGGGGCCTACATGTGACATGAGAGTTTCTGTATGTGTGCAGGGCCGTGGTAGCTTCTACAGGGTGTGTGTGATCTGAGCCAGAAGCAGGACCACCCATATTCAGTAGTCGGGGATCAGAAGGTCCGCTCGGGGAACCTAATTCTGATCAGCAGCTGAATAAAATCCCGAGACCTGGTGTCCCTGTATACCGCGCTGTAGAAGCGCCATCTAGGACATGCTGTGATGTTTTGGGCACTTCCAGAGGGGAATTGGAGAGAGTTCAAAGACGGGACAGCTAAAGTCTCTGAAGGGAATCGTTCAAAACTGGAGCAGACAGAATACGGAGCAGGTGCCCATGGCAACCAATCAGCTTCTCTCTTCAGGATGTTGTGTTAAAAGAGAACTATGAGGTTAGGGCTTTTCCCCATAGTTCTCAGGGTAACTGGAGGACACAAACTAGCGTCCTCCCGTCACCCTAGGCTCAGTATATAGGGAGCTACAGCTCGCAGTATACTGAGACGCCGCAGCTGAAGCGGATCCTGACAATTCTGTCTGGATCCACTAAGCTGCGTGAGTGACAGCTGGCTCTGCCTATATAGAGGCAGAGCCAGCTGTACCCGCCCCCTCCCCCGTCCGTTTCGCCAGTCAGCGCTGGAGGATCGGACAGGGGAGGAGGAGGGGGGAATCCCTGCAGGGAGCCGTGAGTGACAGTCACGGCTCTCTGCAGGGATAGATCGAGAAGTGAGCGAGCGCCGGTATGTGTTCACTCACTTCCCGATCTACTGAGCCGACCTGTGACAGTCTCATTGTCGCAGGTCGGCTCAGATTATGAGGCTGAGTGCAAAGCACTCGCCTCTGAATTCTCCTTTTAAGATTTGAAAGAGAAGCTGATTGGTTGCCTTGCACAGCTGCTCCAGATTTTGTCTGCTCCAGTTTTGATCAATTCCCCTCTCTCTGTGCAAATGTTGTGTATTTTTTTTTTGGTCAGGACCTTCCCTCCAAGTTGCGTTCTCTCAATAGTTTTCTACTTCCTGTTCTTCAGAGGCACTGGTGACGTAGCCAGGGTCTCATAGGTGGCTCCTGTTAAGGATACGTCACCAGTGCCTTCCGGGGAGATCTCGTTTGTAATCTCTCCGGATCCCATAGAAATGTTTGCATGTGTGCCGCGATTATGATGTCGCTATCACCGTGGTGAAGTGTACAAACAGCACCTGATGTCCTACAACGCATGGCACGGGATCAGGCTCGGGCATCATTGGAGAGAGCAAGGACGCAGCACTCCTC